ATTCAAGAAGAAATGTACCGTCTGAATCAAGGAGATAATACGGTAACTCAGTTCTTTACTAAACTCAAAGCGTTCTGGGAAGAACTTGACACCTTGCAACCTTTACCAAAATGCAAGTGTACCCCTAACTGTGCGTGTGGTGTTATGATGCAAACGCATGCAAGAAACAGTAGGGAGAAAGACCATGTTATTCGATTTCTACGAGGACTCAATGATCAGTTCGCTCATGTCCGTTCACAAATTATGCTAATGGATCCACTTCCTAATATTAATCGAGTCTTTTCTTTAATTTCCCAACAAGAAAGACAGATTAATGTGGAAACCAGCAATGTAAATACAAAGATCTTCTTGAATGTTAATGATGAACCACAGATGCGTGGACAAGCTTCATATAGAGGGAATGTCAATGATGAACCACAGATGCGTGGACAAGCTTCATACAGAGGAAGAGGTCGTTCAAGTTTTGGCAGAGGACGATCTAATCCTGGAAAAATATGTACTCACTGTGGACGTACCAATCACACAATTGAGACATGCTTTGAGAAGCATGGTTACCCTCCAGGTTGCAGGTACAGGATAAATCGAAAAGCCAATATGGCCACTCATGAAGGTAATGATTTTTCTGAATATGCAGATCAATACCAAAGATCTATACAAGTATTTGAAGATAAAGGAAAGAATGATGACAATTTCCATTTCACCAAAGATTAGTACCAAAGTTTACTTGGACTGATTCAAAATCCAAGAAATGATGCAACACATTCATCCAATATTGTTCAAACTAATGCAACATTGACTACTCCAGGTAAAACTTGTTTTCAATGGATTCTTGACACAGGGGCAACCGACCATATCACTCATTGTTTTGATCTTCTTTCATATCCTAAAAGAATCAATCCTATCCCCATCAAATTACCAGATGGTAGTCAATTATTTGCTACTTATTCTGGAAATGTTTTTCTGTCACCTACTTTGAATCTGTCGAATGTCCTTTTTGTGCCAAAGTTTTGTGTGAATCATATATCAATAACCAAACTTCTTTTTCATTCCAATTGCCATGTTATATTTCGCCCACTTACCTGTTTCATTGTGCAGAATACCAATGGGAGGATGATTGGTTCTGCTAGTCAAAAGAACAATTTGTACATATTGGAGTCACATCATGAAGCTTCTGTCAAGGACAAGATGACTAGTTTTAATAAATGTACAAATAGCATAAGAGCAGATGCCACAATCTGGCACAAGCGTTTAGGTCACTGTTCTTCAACAATTTTACACCAAATGTCCACTATATTTCCTTTCATATCATGTAATAATGAAATTGACATATGTGATACATGTCATTATTCAAAGCAGAAAAGACTGCCTTTTTCTTCGAGCATTTCTGTATCTTCACATTCTTTTGATCTCATCCATGTTGACATATGGGGTCCTCATTCCATACCTTCAATTCATGATCATCGTTATTTTTTAACATTGGTATATGATTATTCACGTTTTACTTGGGTTATACCAATGAAAACTAAAGGTGAAACCAGATCACATCTTTGTAACTTCATCCATTTTATTGAAAATCAGTTTCAAGTTACTGTCAAAACTATTCGATCAGACAATGGACCAGAATTTTTATTGAAAGATTTTTTTGGCTCCAAGGGTATAGTTCATCAAACAACATGTGTTGAAAGTCCACAACAAAATGGTATCGTAGAATGTAAGCATCAACATCTATTGAATACTGCTCGTGCTTTATTTTTTCAATCAGACATTCCCAAAATATATTGGTGTTACTGTATCACACATGCAGCATACATAATCAACCGATTGGTCACACTCACTCTCAAAAACAAATCTCCCTTTGAACTGTTATATAACGAACCACCCACATTTCTGAATCTAAAAACTTTTGGTTCTCTTTGCTTTGCATTAACCCTTACTCAACACAGAACAAAATTTGAGCCTCGTGCAAGAAAATGTGCTTTTCTTGGATACAAGCAAGGTACAAAAGGCTACATTGTACTTGACCTCCATTCAAACACTATTTTTAATTCAAGAAATGTCCATTTCTATGAATCCCATTTCCCTTTTGCTGAATCAAAGTTGGATAATGACACCAATACACCATCTTTTCATATTCAGCCACCAAATACCGAATATGATATTCCCTTCATGTCTTCACCTGTCTCACACATTTCTAATATGCATCATTCTAATAATCCATCCACTTCTGATGCATCTACAAATATTCAACAACCTTGTTCTGCACCTATAAATTCCAATGACAGTGATCTCATACTTAGACGTTCTGCTCGTGTTAAAACTCGTCCTCAATACTTGACAGAATTTCACTGTGGCTCATCAAACATAGCAGACACCAATACATCCTCAGGTATGAAACAACCCTCATATCCTCTTTCACATGTTCTTTCTTACTCCAATTGTTCCCATTCCTATACAGTTTTTTGTCATAACCTTCTTACAGAAACTGAACCCACAAGTTATAAACAAGCAGCTGTTATCCCTCATTGGCAAGATGCCATGAACTCTGAGATCAAAGCTCTTGATTTAAACAAAACCTGGTCATTAGTTCCACTTCCTTCCAACAAGAAACCAATTGGATGTAAGTGGGTTTTTAAAATCAAAAGGAAACCTGATGGCTCAGTTGATCGATACAAAGCAAGGTTAGTTGCAAAGGGTTACAATCAATGTGAAGGAATTGATTATTTCCAAACATTTTCTCCAGTAGCAAAAATGACAACAGTCCGCACTCTCCTTGCTCTTGTTGTAGCTAAAAACTGGCATCTTGAGCAATTGGATGTGGATAATGCTTTTTTACATGGAGACTTACATGAAGATGTTTTCATGACATTACCACCTGGTACTGCAAGTCCATTTCCTCATGCTGTATGCAAGCTCCAAAAATCCTTATATGGATTAAAGCAAGCAAGTCGTCAGTGGAACGAAAAGCTCACCCAATCCCTTCAATCCTTGGGATACACTCAGTCCATTGCTGATTACTCTCTTTTTATTCGACATGTTTCTGATTCATTCACAGCACTCCTGGTTTATGTAGATGATGTTGTTCTTGCTGGCAATGATGCCAATTAAATCCAACGTGTTAAAGCTACACTCCACAGCCAATTTAAAATAAAAGATTTGGGTCTTCTTCGATTCTTTCTGGGATTAGAAGTGGCTCGCTCTCATAAGGGTTTAATTCTCAATCAGAGAAAATACACTCTGGAATTATTGGCTGACTCTGGACTTCTAGCTGCCAAACCTGCCACTACTCCCCTTAACCCTTCAATCAAGTTGCAACGCATTCAGGGTGATCCTTATGAAGATCCTTCTGCATACAGACGTCTTGTTGGTAAATTGTTATATTTAACTACTACTCGACCCGATATAACTCATGTTGTTCATCAGCTGAGTCAATTTGTTTCCAATCCTATGTGTGCTCACTTCACTGTCGCATGTCATGTGTTGAGGTATCTGAAGAATTCACCTGGACAAGGATTGATGTTTTCTGTAAACAATTCCCTCCAACTTTCTGCGTTCACTGACAGTGATCGGGCTTGCTGTATTGATACCAGAAAGTCTATTACTGGCACCTGCATTTTTTTGGGAAATTCCTTAATTTCGTGGCGCTATAAGAAGCAGACAACAGTCTCCAAATCATCCTCAGAAGCTGAATATCGAGCCCTGGCCAGTACTACATGTGAAGTTCAGTGGTTGGCATTCTTATTCAAAGATCTGTATCTCCCTCTTGTTCAATCTGTTCCTATCTACTGTGACAACCAAGCTGCTATATATTTAGCACACAACCCCAGTTTCCATGAACGCAGTAAACACATCGAAATTGATTGTCATATCACAAGGGAGAAGATTAACAATGGTCTTATTCGGTTGCTTCCCATTTCCACTCATCATCAACTAGCAGATGTTTTTACTAAGTCCCTACACCCTGCTCCTTTTCGGGAAATTATATCGAAGTTTGGGATGATTGATGTTCATCTCCCAACTTGAGGGGGGCTATTACCAGTAAAAGTTTATTTATCTTTTAGTGTTAGTTAGTTAATCTGTTAGTTAGCAAGATAGTTAGTTAAATTAGTTTTCTGTTATTTCTAGTTTAACTTTTCCCGCTCATTGATTTGCTGGGTGTAAACATCAGTATATAAGCTGAACTCTTGTATTAGTAATACTCACTGAATCAATTCACTTTTCTGTTCAATTAGAATTCCTTTTTCTTCTTTACTAAGAAAGGTAAAAAGAAAAAGAGGAGATGAAGATTATAAGGATTAAAAAAAAGAGCATATGAAACATATAAATAAGAACTGGTCTAGCCCAGTACCATGCTACTAGAACCATCTTAAGTCACAAATAATTAAACAAAAATATTTATCATTATCAATGAATTATTATTAGAATTAGGGGGGGGGGGGGGGGGGGGGGGGGGGGGGGGGTTAGGTTTAATGGATCGATGGCAAGCCTTGTTTTGCTCCTAGTATAGTGCTAATCACTACCACCTTTGTGTTCCAAAATAGTAAAATATGATCGTGGCGCCATCTCACTCACAGAAATTTGCAGATACTTCGTTTTCAATAACTAGTCACGAACACGCAAGCATCATGCATCCAAAAAATTTGGTTTGCCATTTCTTTTGTTGAACTTCAATTAATTAACTAAACAAAATACCACTTTGACAGCTTCATTGCCATACCATAGATATGGGACACACTCGATGACAACATAAAAAGCTTGGACACACCAATGAAAGCCGTAAAATTATGAAGCAAATTAACTAAAATGTGCACACTTAAGAGGGTGTTGAAACCTTGGTATTGGCATACAGTACTGTAGATTTCTACTATCTGGGTTTGAAGCTTGCACTTTGCAGATATCAATCTGTATAATAGTTCAAGTCTTTTATTTTAGTACATAAAAGTGATCCAAATTGTGTTGTGTTTGCCTTTTTTTTCCCCCTACATTCGCAACCAAGAAAAACAATGAGGGAGGTTGTGATTGTTGCAATTGCTGCTACACTTGGGAATCTACTGGTTGGATGGGATAGTTCAACCATTGCAGGTGCTTTCATTTTTTTCTTCTTTTTTGTTTTGTTTGATTTTTTTCCTACATATGAAACAAATATTCCGATTCTCAAATATTCAGAAGGTAGCAAGAAACTTATGTTGGCTGATGCGAATGGCATTAACATTAGATCTCATTAATAAAATTGAACAAACATGTTGCTACATGACTGCAGGGGGCATGACTTACATAAAAAAAGAATTCAAATTGGAATCTGATCCCACACTTGAGGGGCTAATTGTGTCCATGTCGTTTCTCACTGGCACTGTTGTCACAATATTCTCTGGGACAGTTTCTGATATGATTGGAAGGCGTCCTATGTTGATAACATCATCAGTTATGTTTTTCTTCAGTGGTTTGGTCATGTTGTGGGCTCCTAATGTCCTTGTTGTTCTGTTATCAAGGCTATTGGATGGGGTTGCTATTGCACTCTCCATGACTCTTACTCCTCTCTATATATCCGAGATAGCACCACCTGACATCAGAGGCCTACTCAACACTCTCCCACAGTTTTCGTGCTCTGGAGGCATGTTTGTGGCATACATCTTGGTGTTCTGCATGTCCTTGATGGACTCGCCAAGTTGGAGAGCAATGTTTGGTGTTGTTTCCATTCCTTCTGTTGCTTATTTCTTTCTTGCAGTTTTTTACCTCCCTGAATCCCCACCATGGCTTGTAAGTAAAGGTAGAATTCCTGAGGCTAAGAAAGTTCTTCAAAGAATTCGCGGCGTTGAAGATGTTTCAGGTAATGCAAACTAGCTACCATTGTTAATTAGATTTAACAATGTTTTTGAACAGATTTGTGTACCTGGTTGTAGTGTATGGTATGCTTGAGCATCCACGGAGTAGACTGGTGGTGGCAGCTGCACACTCTTCTGTGTGCTCCGGTGGAAAAAGGGAGGTGTGCACCTGTTTCTTGTTGCTTCCTCTATGAGGATGAAAACCCCCTGTGTATGGTGCTGCTGATAGTCCTCGTTGGGTTTTAGGGTATTCCCCTTAATTAATGAGTCCAATGCTTATTGGGCCTAAGTTCTGGGAGCAAATATGTAGTGCTCCCGGTCCCTTAATTAATGAGTCCAATGCTTATTGGGCCTAAGTTTTGGGAGCAAATATGTAGTGCTCCCGGTCCAATGCATCGCCCAGAGAGAGGGGTGGAGAAAGAGAGAGGGAGAGGACTAGGGAATTAATTTTCCTAAGTTGGATATATCGTACAGAACAGTTTTCATAATCATTTGCTTGAGTACATGTCAATATCAATAGGAACATATCTTTATTGAGTAAGTATTCTTTTACTTAAAGTCACTTTCACTACCGGGGTGGGATGAGAGTAATCATTGAACATAAAATAAATAAGTTTACCACTGTTTCAAACTCGCCCTATGTTTGCATACTCTTTTAATTAAAGGTAGATAAAGTGAGACTCATATGACATTAAGCATAGAAGAGATAAAATCACTCTCCATTAACCATAGTAAGTGATGTAGGTAGTTGTACTTGGGGCATTACAAATATTTTCTATATACATTGACTCGGAGTTTGCTTTGAACTATAGCTGAATTGGCTTTGCTGGGTGAGGGTCTGAATCCTGGGGGTGAAGGTACCACCATAGAAGAGTACATCGTTTCCCCTGCCAGTGACCTCATTGCAAACAAGGAAGCAGGAAGGGATTGCATAAAGCTATATGGACCCAAACAAGGAGTTTCAATGATTGCTCAACCAGTGAATGGACAAGGTAGCATGATATCTCGCAGCACGTTAACATTGTCACGCCAAGGAAGCATTGTTACTCAACCTGCAGCTCTTAAGGACCCTCTTGTCAATCTCTTTGGGAGTATGCATGAGAATATTCCCACTGAGTCTGTAGGTTCAAGAGGTATGCTAATTCCCAAAGTGTGGAGTGTCTCTAGTATGGCAGATCATGATCAGAGCCCCTTTGGTACCAGTGATAACCTGCATGCTCCACTACTTTCAAGTCAAGGTAGTGTTATTGAGAAGGACAAGGCTTTTGGATCCAATAGTGGCATGAGAAGTAATAACAACTTGATTTCGTGTAATAGTGGTGAAGTACCTAAGAATACAAACATAGGTGGAGGTTGGCAATTGGTTTATAAATCAGCTGAAGGAACTGGCGGTGGGAAAAAAGAAGGAGGAGGACTGCAAAGGGTTTATCTGAAAGCAGATCCTAATGCAGTTTCTAGGCAAGGTTCATTTGTTTCCTCTTCTGGTTGTGACTTACATGCAGGTGGTGGTGAAGCTTTTCCAGCAGCTGCACTTGTAAGTCGTTCAGTTCTTGGTGTTAAGGATATGAAGATTAAACCAGAAGTTTCTCCAAAACGTACTGGCTGGGGAAGTTTGTTAGAGCCAGGAGTAAAGCGTGCACTATTTGTTGGAATTGGACTCCAAGTTCTTCAGCAGGTACACCTAGTTCACACTGTACTAGCATGTATTATAATACCTTACTATTTTCCTTTTGTAGAAGATAAAAAGTTTAAAGTAGGGGAAGACACGCATCCAAACAAGGCCAGGGAAAAATCACCAACCTCATTAAGGGTTTATGGTAGGATTATGTATCGCCTACGGGAACCTGAGAATTGAACCCAAATCTCAGCTAGCATATCTGTCTATTTTCTACTTCTTCTATTGTTGTTTTTTATGTCCCCTGCCTTAATATTGAAATCCGTTGACTATGGCAGTTTGTGAATGGCAAATCCCCAAGTAGTTCCTTGGTTTACCCCTACATCATAGTCTATCACAGAGTCAACAAACTAATGATGAGCTTGATATTAGGGTGTAGATGACGATCATTTTGTCCACCAAACATTCCATTACAGTAGTTAATGAGGGTTAGCTCAATTAGTGGGATTGAACAAAGTCAACAATAAAGTCTTGGTTTGGTATCATGACCATGATCTTTCGTTAATATGTTATTGTTCTGAATAATTGTAATTAGTTATTTTTTTATTTTTTTATTATAGAATTTTTTTTGGGTTAGCTCATTAGAGACTAGTTAGGTCATTTAGTCTCTTTAAATAGAGAGTACTTGTATAGTTATAATACACAATTCAATAATATATTTTCCTCCCATTTTCCAACTTGGTATTAGAGCTATCAATTCTGATGGCCTTACTTCCGCGATTGCCACCTTTAGAGCGGAACCCTATTTTTTTGCCTCTCGTTGCGACTTTTTGGGGACCTTTTGACCGAGAGAACCTTTGTTTGACTCTTTTTTCCCCAGATTTATCAGTCTACGAATGTCACTGTTCATCGTGCATAGTTCATCAATTACTGTTCATCGCCGAAAATATTGTTCATCGCCGAAGTTAGAAGTTGTTTGGGTGTGCATTTGGTTGATTTTGTTGCTATTTTTGACTTTTTCTTTGTGTTATGGCCGGTTTCGATGGTGATTCAACTCTTACACAGTCTCCATATGTCTCTCCATATGTGAATATTTGGCAAGGGGAGTTGGAGCAGCTTAAGGCTGCTATTGATAATCTATGTAAGTCATCTAACAGTTCGTTGATCTTGTCTGGTAAGAACATACATTCTACATCTCTTCTTACTTCTTGCATTGATTTTAGGACCTCATGGATTTTGGATTCTAGTGCAATTGATCATATGACTTGTCTTGCTGAGTATTTTCTTTCTTATCATCCTAATGTTAGTAGTCATACTATAGCCGTAGCCGACAGATCCCATAAATCATTTATTGGTTCTTGTAACATTCACATTCAACCTTCCCTTTTTCTTAAAAATGTTCTTTATGTTCCTCAACTTTCCACTAATCTTATCTCCAATCATAAGCTTACAACTGATTTGAATTGTTCTATCACCCTTTTCCCTTCTAATTATGTTATTCAGGATCTCACCACTAGGAAGAGAATTGGAGTTGTTGTGGAGCAGGGTGAGTTGTATTATCTCCTTTCAGAACATGCTACAAAGATGCCAAAAATCAACTATTGATGACATGTCATTCTTCTACTTCTTAATCTATGATTTGGCTCCATTAAAAGCATATGGGGCACCCACCATTTAGTCCATTAAAGTCAATGTTTCATTCTCTATTTATAAACCAGTCAGTTGAGATCTTTCATTGCAATGTTTGTGAATTTTCAAAACACCATCGAGTGTCCTTTCCTTCTAGTGTTATCAAAAGTATTGAACATTTTTCTCTTATTCATTTTGATATTTGGGGCCCTTCAAAAGTGCATAGTATTTTAGGTGCAAAGTGGTTGTTTCTTTTATTGATGATTGTACTCAGGTGACATGGATATTCTTGATGAAAGACAAGTCTGAAGTACCAGAGTAATTTATCTGATTTGATCACATGGTCGAGACTCAGTTTGGTAAAAATATTCAAAGACTAAGATCTAATAATGGTATTGAGTATGTCAACCAATGTCTGGCGCAATTCATTTCAAACAAATGTATGATTCAAGAGCTCACATGTGTTGATACCTCTTAATAAAACAAGGTTGTTGAAAGAAAAATCGTCACCTCCTTTAAGTCGCTAAAACACTACTTTTCCAGACATCTGTTCCTAGTTCTTATTGGGGAGAAGCCATGTTAACTGCAATATTTTTTATCAATTGCTTACCTTCACGGGTCCTTAGCAATACCCATCCTTTTTATTCCATGACTTCCTTCTTTCTTTCTATTCCCATTATGTAGAGTCTTCAGTCGCAAGTGTTTGGGTGTGTTGCCTTTGTCCATGTTCATAAACAACATCGCATTAAGTTGGATACTAGGGCTCTTAAGTGTATCTTCCTTGGTTATGCCCCTGATAAGAAAGGCTACAAGTGTTATCATCTTGCCAGTTAGAAATTTTTTGCTTTCATGAATCTAAGTCCTTTTCCATGGTCCTTAACTTCACGGGAAGAGCAATTTTTCAGTAGAATCATCACCTTCTTTCTTTGAGTCTGGATCTTTCATGTCTACTCGTACACCTCTTCGTCCTGTGTCTGATCCATCGAATACACTAGAGATACGAAAGTTTGTGACACCTGATTTGGTATATCACAAGAGGAACCAACCAACATTGCTTCACTAGCAACCTCAATCGTCTGAACCACTGGTAAGTCCTGAACCTCTTGCTTTTGAATCTAATATTGATGAACATCTTGTTTCTGAATCTAATATTGATTCTTTTGATGACTTACCCATTGCCCTAAGAAAAGGAAAAAGATCTTTACCTAAAGATCTTGTCCCTTTTGTACCCAACATCTTATCTCCCATTTCGTTTCTTCTACTAATCTTTATGTGTAACACAAAAACTTTGTTTCAACACTAGATTATGTCTCAATCCCAAAATCAGTACGTGAAGCATTAGAAGATGAGAATTGGGCTCAAGCCATGCAAGATGAGATAATGCCTTGGAGAAAAATAAAACATGGGAGATTGTTAATAGACCTGATGGAAAGAAAGCAGTAGGGTGCATATAGCTTTATGCCCTAAAATATAATTCTGATGGCACTCTTGAGAGATATAAGGCTCGACTGAGGGTTACACTTAGACCTATGGCATTGATTATGAAGAGACTTTTGCCCTAGTTGCAAAGATGAATATTGTGAGAGCCTTGTTATCTCTTGCTGCTCATTACAATTGGGATATAAATTAATTTGATGTGAAGAATGTTTTCCACAATGATGAGTTAGAAGAAGAGGTTTACATGGAAATTTTGCCTAGTTTTGATAGATGGAGTGAATAAAGTTTGTTGGTTAAAGAAGGCATTGTATGGATTGAATCAGTCTCCTCATACCTGGTTTGGGAGATTTACTAAGGTTATGGTGACCTTAGGATACAAACAGAGTCAAGGAGATTACACACTTTTCTTTAAGCACTCCCAAGATGGGAAGCTCACTGTGCTCCTTGTGTATGTCAATGATATTATTATAGCAGGTGATGATATTGCAGAGAGACATGTTCTACAAGCACAACTAGCCTCTAAATTTGAAATTAAAGACCAAGGGAGATTGAAATATTTTCTAGGGATAGAAGTAGCTCATTCAAAGAAAAAGATGTTTATCAATCAGAGGAAATATGTCCTTGATCTTCTTAAAGAAGTAAGAAAACTTAGGAGTAATCCCTATAGTGCTCTTATTGAACAACATCATAAGATGGGCTATGAAGAGGAGAGTCCTCTAGTTGATAAAAGATAATATCAGCGGCTAGTTGAGAGACTGATATATCTGGCCTATACTAGACTAGACCTAGCTTATGTTGTTAGTATTGTGAGTCAGTTCATGCATAATCCAAAAGAAAAATAGATGCAGGCAATGAGAAAATTCTTCAGTATCTTAAAGTCACTCCTAGTAAAGGATTGTTATTCGGCGTGATGACAATCTCTCTTTAGAAGTTTATACTGACGTGGATTATGTTGGATATGTTACTGATTGTCGATCCACCATTGGTTATTGTATATTTCTTTGTGGTAACCTAGTGACATGGAGGAGTAAGATGCGAGATGTAGTTGCTAGGTCAAATGCAGATGCTGAATTTCGAGCTATGACTCAAGGTAGTATTTCTGAATTATTATGGTTGGGGATTATACTTGATGATCTCAAAATAAGATATGAAGGACCTATGAAGCTACTTTGTGATAATAAGTCTGCCATTAGTATATCTTGTAATCCAATTTAACATGATCAGACTAAGCATATTGAAGTCGACTGCCATTTCATAAAAGAGAAGCTTGATAGCGGGTTGATCGTCACTCCATACATTCCTTTTGGACATCAATTAGCTGATATTTTGACGAAGGGACATCCCCCAGAAAGGTTTCAAGAGCTTACTAGCAAGCTGAGAATGATAAATATCTATTTCTCATCTTGAGGTAGAGTGTTGTAAATAATTGTAATTAGTTATTTATTTATTTTTTTCATTCTAGAATTTAGTCTCTTTAAATAAAGAGCACTTGTACAATTATAATACCCAATTCAATACTATATTTTCCTTCCATTTTTCAAGTGTTATCTAGTGTTGTTTAGCTGTTGTGTCTTTGGAATTGGGGAACCTACCCTTCCCCTAAACTTTTTTTCTACACAAAAAATAAAAATAAAATCTAACAAAATCACAATTATTATAAGGGATATCTTTACCCAATTATACTAAGGTTGGGAGCTGTAACCAGTCCAATCCTTGAATAAACATCATTACAAACTGACTCTTCTTTCAAAGTTACTCTATACAACAACGCTTCAAGGACTTCAATTCTATTATAATTAATCTTCAAACATTCTTAGATTCTAAAATTATAATTTATTATGTTGCAGGCTGCTGGCATAAATGGATTTCTATACTATGCTCCCCAGATTCTTGAGCAGGCAGGAGTTGGGGCTCTTCTGTCAAATTTGGGCATTAGTGCAACATCTGGTTCGTTACTCGTAAATGTCTTTACAACATTCTCTATGCTTCCTTGTATAGCTATTTCCATGAGGCTCATGGATATTTCTGGCAGGAGGTATGTTTAAACTGAGATGCATTTTAAATTTCCTTTTAGTCTTGAATATGTTAACCCGTTTTACAAGGTAAAAACTTCTACAAGGTTCAGTAATTTATATAGTCATAATTGGTTGATTTCATTTTACAATCTAGATAGTGTCCTCCTAGTAAAATGTAAGGGTAAGACAATATACAATTAATTCTCATCTCTACCCTCGTAATTGGGGAACTTTGTACATCAATGCCCTTATAATTTCCTAGTACAACATTTGCTCGTTAACTTCTTGGTTATACAAATTTACAATGTGTGTCACTTTATATTAGAAATATAATATAAAACTGTTCATTTATCTTTACATAGTAGTTAAATTTTTTGGATTTAATTAATTTTTTATATGGTATTAGGTCCTCTATGACCAAATGATCTAGAATTCAATGCTCGTCACCGCATTCTTTTAATAAATATTATATATTGTGGAATTTCTTAAAGAGGCTATACATTATCTACCATTCAAGTCAAAAGTACTCTTATATAAGGGGACATGATATAAATATAATATAAAATCATTCATCTATCTTCACCTAACCGTTCAAGCATTTGAGATGAATTGGTTTTTTATAATTTGTACCTTGTTCGCTATCTCAAATAGCAAAAATTAAAAATTTAAACTAAAATGCAAAAATCATGACAATAGTATTGTATATTTTCTGGTGGCAGGTCAATAATGTTGTACACCATACCCATTCTGATAGTGTCTCTCATGGTTCTAGTACTCCGGGAATCATTTCACATCAGTTCTACTCTCAATGCAGCAATAACTGCTATATGTGTTGTGGTATACGAAAGTGTCTTCTGCATGGGTTTTGGTGTAATTCCCAACATCTTATGTTCAGAAATCTTCCCAACTAGTGTTCGTGGAATATGTATTTCTATTTGTTCCCTTACATATTGGATGTGTACCTTGATTGTTACTTCTCAATTTCCCTTCTTGCTCCAACTCCTCGGTCTTACAGGGGTCTTTGGGTTATTTGTTGTTGGGTGCATCATTTCATGGATATTTGTCTACTTGAAAGTTCCTGAAACAAAGGGCATGCCTTTAGAAGTCATTATTGAGTTCTTCGCTATTGGTTCAAAGCCTGAATGAAACTGATCCTGTACAGTTGGGAAGCAAAAGCTGAATTATCATACTGACATCATTATCATCACAAGAAGAACGAGAAGAAGCAGAAGCACTTATCATTGATAAATTTGAAGTTTAGTGGAAGATTGAAACCATTCCTTGTTTCAATACATATCGGCAAGTTTCTGCTTTTGTCCTTAGAAGAGAAAAGAGTATAATAATCTAAAAATATATTAAGACACAATGTAATTAGACTTTTACAGTATTCATTCCTTGGACTTGTATTTTCGCTATAATTTTCCAAGTGGTTAGTGGTGCATATTCTTCAATAAATGTATCAGGCCGTGAGGACTCTAGTATATGTTAGTCCAAGATTTAAGTTAACCTTATATTAGCATTCTGTTTTTTGCATCATAGAAATGTTTATTTACTTGTCTAATATTCCATAACATTGGTGCTCTATCTTAAGAGCTTATATTTGAAAGCTCATAACAAGTTCGAGAATAATTTAACTCAAGATTTTACATATTTTAAAATTAACGCAGATTGCCTTAAAACATGTTCATATTTTAAAAATAAGTTTAATGTTTATCATGTTGTAGGAAATAAATTTATTTCTTATAAACATGAAGAGTGTATGAAACTCATATATATATATATAGGAGATAAGATCCTTTGACACTGGTGTCACATTTGAAATTTGACACCTCATCTGATAGCCGTTAGATCAAAAAAGATCAACGACTCTGATTTGTAAGTATGTAAGACCATTGATCTTTTTTGATCTAACGACTATCAGATGAGGTGTCAAATTTAAAATTTGACACCTCATCTGAAAGCCGTTAGATTAAAAAATATCAATGGTTCTGATTTGTAAGAATGTGACACCATTGATCTTTTTTGATCTAATGGCTGTCAGATGAGGTGTCGAATTTCAAATTTGACACCGGTGTCAAAAAAATCCTACTCTCTCTCTCTCTCTCTTTATATATATATATATATATATATATATATATATATATATATATATATATATATATATGGGTCAGGATCATTTTACACCAGTGTAAGTTACACTCTCAATCTTGTCCGTTGATCCCACTTATATCTAAGGGCTCTAATTTTTTAGTAATGTGAGCCATTGGATACAAGTGGATCAATGGTCAAGATTGAGTGTAAGACTTCTAACTCTTACACCGGTGTAAGAATATCCTGCCCCTATATATATATATATATATATATATATATATATATATATATATATATATATCTTACAACACGAAATATTAAACTTTTAAAACTAGCATCATGTTAAAACATATTTGTTTTCCAACGAAAATTTTCGCGGGTTCAACTTTATACGTGGTAAAGTGTGCCAACAGTGTTTCCAAAATCTGATCCCTTTAATCGAAAAGAAAATGAAAATTTAATTCTGTATTAATTGTTAAAGGAAGAAAGAACACTTGTTTTCGATTAATTGTATTAATCGAAAAGATCACTTTTTTGTTACTAAGTGACCCACGAACAACATCAATATCGCATTGGAATCAAGTAATGGTGTGATGACATAATCAATTTTTTGCTTGCAGTTCTTGATAAAATGACGTTAGAATAAAATAGTTATATTGCACAAACTATCAATAAGAACTTGATAATAACATTAATGTGGTCATAATTAGGTCACAAGTAAAATTGACAAGTTCCTAAGCAATGTTATTAAACACAAATGGGTCATCCAGTCGGTCAAAATTGTAAGTGAATGAGTTATTAATTTAATCAGTAGGTCATCATTAATTGACCTGCTTAAATTGAATTTATTTAAAAATATATAATAAATATATAAATAAAAGAGTAAATATTTTTTTTGATCCTCATCAAATTTTACTATGCTCGCTTTAGTCCCTAACAAATAAAAAGGCTCATCGTAGTCCTTAAGAAATTTAAAATGGATCCAATTAGTTGAAATCGTAGTCCCTCACAAATTCAAAAAAGACCCATACTAGTCCCTCAGAAAGAGTAAAATGGATTCATTTTGAATTTTTTAGTGATCACGATGGACTTTTTTATTTACTAGAGATTAAAGTGGGTATCGTGAAATTTATTGAGGAACAAAAAAAAAGTATTTAGTCTAAATAAAAATAATATAACAATTAAAGTAACTTGTTTTAATGGGTAGCTTATTACTCCCCTTTCCTCAGCGGTGAAGTTCGAATCTCAAAAAACTAGAGTCTAAACTACAGGCTTCTGCTCATGAATATGCAATTAATTAAAAGTGAGAAAAAAAAAATTAAGATAATCCTAACGAAAGACGAATTAAAAGGGGCGGTCATTGGTAACTTGCTTTCTTGCTTCGGGTAATGTTGAATGTTCAAGGAACAGTGATCAAAGTATCACTGTTAGCGAAATATACCACGTGGTATTTTGGCAAGAAAGAAACTCACTTAAAAGTAACTTACTTAATCCTATCATTTTTCATGCCAAAACTTGATCTTTAACAAAGAAACTCATGATCAAAGGTGAGAAACATACCCCAAAGACTCAAAACAGAAGCCACAAGTTATGTCTGGCAAATGGAAGGAGGAGAACTCCGGATACCAGAAAAGGAGATTTCAAAGAGAGAGGAGCTTGAAGGAGACTGAGCAACATTGATTCTTCTTCTTCTTTATGATTTATTCTTCTTTCTTTATTTTGTTTAAGCCAGTTATGTTTGACAAATTTTCTTTTGTAGTTAGGATCATGGATCCGATGTGAATCTCAGTTATGGCTTAATTTGGTTTCTTTAATAAATTATTTTAGTTATTTGTGTTTTACCTTGTATGATATTCTATATCCTTGTATGAATTGATCACTCTTATAGGGATTTGAGGGTTAGGGCTCACAATAGACATATTGGGGTTTTAATCCTGACAGGGGTAAAATATCAATTCTTGCATGATCTAGACATAGGCTTGCTTGAGTTGCAGACTTCATAATTCATTGTGTCTAATGCTTATTTTAAGAGGAATCACTAAGACATTAGGATTCTAATTATAGTAAAGGATTAAAGTTACTAAGACATTAGGATTTAACCAACTATTTTTAGAAGATTAATTCTCTGAAATATTTGAAATAATTTAATATTGGAATTAAATTAAAAACCTCTAGGGGGATCAAAGATGAAGTGCATCCTGACTACAGTTTCTTTACATTATTTACTCATATCTTTTCTGGAGTTCTTGATTATTCTTGAATGTTCTTGAGTTTCACTGCATTTAATTTTCATTATTTTTATTTTAATTAAAAATTTATTTTATAAACCAAATTGTATTTTCCAAATTAAAGGGACTAGTTATAATATTACTTGGTGCATTAATCCTCGAGGGATGATACTTTATGTAACAGCCCGTTGTACACCGGTGTTGTTAACATTAATTATGATATTAAGCGAAGTTACAATCACAGCAGTTCATTTATAAAAATGCGAGTAAACTTTTTCCGTTTATTACGCGAGCATTTTAAACCGTAAAAAGCGTAATAAATAAAAGATGTGATCATAACTGTAAACTCTTGCGAAATACTAGATTAAACTATTTTTATATCTTATTTTAATTACTATAAGACACTAAGGGGTTCCCATAAACCCACTTAGCCAATTTCTCAATTTTTCGTTTTCTACCTATCCGAACATGGTTCGGTAATTATTTTACTGCGGACACACCGCACAAAACCCGACCTTCATCTTTAGTTATATTTTTTTCTTACTTAAATACCTTTCCAATGAGCCATCACACGAGTCATTTTGATCTCGTTTGCTCCGGATATCGCAGTTTGAAGTTGGACAAGCAAAACTGTCAACCAACCCCAAAACAGCTCAAAACGTCTCTCACTCCACGAATTACTGCAGAAAATTCACTCATCCAATTGCTCCCAAATTTTAACACCACAAACTATACACCTCAAAATTCAATTTGATATATCATATGCTTAATTTGATTAAGAAACGAAGCGGAAATAAAATTCCCAAAAACTGCCAGAAACATCCCCTGCATAGGTGCGTTCTGGACAGTCCATGTTCACAAGCTTCTACAGGTCTGCTTTCAACCCAGAACATTCTAAGATTTTAGTACCATGTAGGGGACATCTCAAGCTTCAAAATGGCGTATGGAACTTCCTTATCAGACCTCTGTGGAGGGAGATATACTCTCTCGAAATTCGTTTAAAAGCTCCAATTCTACAGAAAATTCGCCAGAGTTTCCTTTTGTTTTTCCTAAAATCCCCAAAGTTGTAAAAGATCTCTAGTACCTCAAATGTACCTAATAACCAATGGGTGGCACACACAAGGATCAACAATGCCTTGGGGTACTTACAACCCAACTCAGTTTATATATATTACACAATATAACTCACTTTATAATCCTTAACTTGTTTCAATCACCAAAGTCCATTTTCATGCAATTTCTCAACATACAAGTAATCATCAACGTAAAATAGGCCTAAAGCCCTTCCATCATAGTACATCATAGTACATCATGCATCCATTGTACAATTACCACATTTAACTCACATGTTACAACTTCAACTTTAAATTACAACTTACAAATTCACAACTTTAATTTACAACTTGGAACATAAAACTTCAAATGACATTTACACTAGACTTAGGCAAAATGACATGAACAAATATGACTATGAAACTCATCCTACGTACATATGGGATGTTCCTGCCCTAAGTCTAGCCTAGGTCAAGTGGCCACCAAAATGCAAAATAATAAAAGTGCTCCAACTAGTCATCCTACGAGCTTCTTGCCCGCCGCTCCACTGCCACTGCTACCTCCTGAAATAATGCCCCCAAGACGGGGTGAGATATACAAATATATCTCAGTAACCCAGAGGTTCTGGAGAAAACTCCGCCCAATGGCTCACTTCGATGCATATAAATAATATAAAATAACCACTTTTCAAAACGGGATAAAGCAAGGGATTTAGATAAAATGGGGAATATCGAGATACAAAATACGACGAAGCTGGAATGGTAGCTACCAATA